GAGAGAACCAACTTAAAAAGACTCTAGGCCAGAAAGTACTTAAACTCCCACTCTTACTCCACACTACGAGCGGTATAGAAGCTACTCTAGCTTTTATTACTAGCACGAAGATAGGAACAAGAAAGTGGCATCTAGGCCAAGAAGGCTAGAAAGAAGAAAAATAAGAAAAATAAGAAGAAAAGAAGAAAAACAAAGAACAACGAATTTGATTTTACTAGCACTATTTCCTATCCCCTAAGAGAGCTCGCTAGAAGGCAGCCTAGCTGCTCTATATCTCTCCCTGTTACCAAACTGCTCTTTAGCACCAGGCGTCTAGAAAGCTAGTACTAGCTTAACTAGACAAAGGCCGAAGCACCATAGTCACGCAATACAGCACAACGTACCAAATTGTAACTAGTTAGATAGAACGGCCTTTGGCCAAAGTCCTACATAGCCAACGGCTGATACAGGACTATAATGGAATAATAATAATAATAACACTACCGCCGATACTAATCCGAGTAGTCTTGCCTACGCCGTTACAATATTCACTAAGCAATTAATGTTTAAAAATCACAACTTTTTAGAGTTCTTTTTTTTTATTACCCCACTATAATATTTAGAAGATCCGCAGAAACATAGGGGACGCTTACATAAAGTCCCAGAAGAGCCGAAAAAAGTATTAAAAAGAATGCAAATAAGCACCTAGGAGAACAGCCAACCTAAAATAAACAGAATCTATAAGGACGATCGCGGATAGATTAAGAAAGTGACCTGGCAGGACTCGCAAGTCGATAAATACCCAGTAAAAATCTTATACACGAGGTGCCCACGAAAAGTTAGTAGTACCAATTAAAACAATTAGTCTCTAAGTTAACCTACACAGGTGTTCTCTTATTTAGCATAAGATCCGTAGATTAAGAGCAGAGCAGATAGGCGCAAAACAAATGTCGCAGTGTCGCGCACAGAAGTCAGCATTAAAGATCAGCACGCTAAAGTCTTCAGCTATCGCGCTTCAAAAAATCGGAAGAAAGGAGAGCATCGGAAGTAAATAGTCATAGACATAGGAACAAGAGATAGATAAACAAAGAGAAAGAAACCACTATTTAATCACTCGCATACATTCTTGGTATATGCCTCACTATGGGCCCGAAATAAAGACAACCATAGGTTCTTCGAGCGTATGTGCATTAGATGATAAGTCGAAGGCTCCTTAAGTATCGTCTCTTCCGATTACAGTGTACACTCCTATAGAAATCTAACTTTAAAAATCTTAGCGTAAGCAGATAATCGAAGTATCGAATGATTCAAAGCATTAGATTACAACGAGTGATTAATTCTCGAATCTACTACATTTTCGCTCTTAACTGAAGTCCCTATTCTTACAGCCATATAGCTAACAGATCTATATTAATAGAGTTAATAGAAGGCAATATCTCTTTCGCGCGGGCATTCTCGTAAAATATATTCGTCTCTCTGCTACCGCCCTAAGCACTTAAGAAGTCGTATATTCTTAATTCACCCTATTCTATCTGTCCTAGCTAGTGAGGTAGAGTAGCTAACTGAGCTGAAACTCTGAATCTTGTATGCAGCACCTCGTGAAGTAAATTCTAGCTAGCGGGATAGAGATATACTATGTTAAAGACTTACAATCGCTCCGAAGTGCGTGAGCGCTTTATATAGTTTGCTACACCTTGTGCTAGTATGTCGACTAGAATCCAATCCAAAGGCTGCACGTGTTTTAAGAACACACCGATCTTTAACGAAGATTGTATGATAGAATATAACCAGCCCTACCGCGGCTATCTATAATGCTTTAGGCTTAACGACCCACCAATCTAGCCCGCACGCAGTATATTAACGTGAAGTTTCGTAACCACATGCGCTTTAGTAAGCAGCTGCTCTGTAATGCACTTCGACTAGCTATAGCTAGTTAGTATTGCACTTTCGCAGTCTTATATTACTTCTTCGGGAATTATAGGCTAGTTAGGGTGTCGAAGGGGCCAGTTCCCTACGGCACAGATCGAAGAGATGAAAGTAATCTAAGGAAAGCTATTAGCAGAGGCAAGAAGATCTACAACTTCGCGCAGCCCTTCTAATAGACATTGGAAAGAGGTAAGGGACTTGGCCTAGTTAACGTCCTAGGCATTAAAGACTAGTTTACTAACCTGTGGTATTAACTCTGCGATCGGATTAAGGCCCGGTTCCCTAGCGTGGCTCGTGATACTAGTAACTAAGAACTTTAAACGTTCCCAAGCGGAGGATATATCGCCTATAATCTTTTGTAACGCCGAAATTGTGCGCCGCTTACCGCATTCGCTGCGGTTAAAGTAAACGATCTTGTATTTAGAATGTTCTCGCAGTAGGGACGTAATAATATGTAGCTTAAGAAAACCTATAGATCCCACGATAGTAAGGGTTCTTAAGAGATTTGAAGTTAACATCGCGTTCTCGGGCTTCCTTGGTAAAGAAATTAAGTGGTGACCTTCTATTTACTATATATCTAAGGTTTTAGTCACTCTAAGCCAGTATTCTGCGTGTATAACCTGCGAGATCTTAGTCGTGTAATTGCGGCATAGAATGCCTATTTACTGTGGATTTACAACCTTTATGCAACCTACTATTTCTAGTAAGCTTAAACTTGTGTGATATGATAAATTTGTCGCCTATAGAGGCGAACACTCGAAGTTCAGTCGCTATAGGAGGTGCTGGTGTCCTTAAGGTATCTAGTTTGGGACAGATAGCGTATACATAAATTGCTGAGTGTACGACCTGGCAGAGTCACGAAGTGTCTATTAAAGTTAAATCAGGGCCTCTTAAATGGATTGTGATCATGCATAATCTGCTTGGCGTGAATTATTAGACCCTAATATCATTCTGACTAACACGCAGTAAGCTTTAATGTGCACCCTGTAAATCGATACTAGCGCCAATTTACTCTGAAGAATTGCAGGATATAGCTAGAAGTTGCTTAATGTCGATTGTAACCTCTACATGAATAGTTCCTTGGGCATTAATTCTTAGTTTTTGAGAACCTATATACTGTCATTAGCGATTACAGCTTCACCCTTACGCGTAGCTACGCAGCACACTTGAGCAGCGCCGCCTACTGTATATAGCTTATCACGAGCAGTTAGCTGAACACGACTAGTTAATCTTCAGTCTTATGACGACGAAACCTTTAGAATGCTACCTGCAAGGCTAAAGACGTAATCGCTAATTACTGTATGTAACCGCGACACAACAGCTATTCTTAACACCTTTAGGCCGCTGATATGTTTAGGGCGCCTATACTAATCTAACTAAAGTATTAGGCTTTACCTACGCAAGAGACTTGTTAAATATGTGCAAAGTTGGAAATCATGGTTGTAATTGATGTGTTAAGGGTAAGGCTAATAACACGAGCAATACTTTAGCCATTCTGACTCTACGAGTTCCGTCCTAGGCCTGATTTAATGAGGCTGTTATTGTTTCTATTTACATAGACTGTGCATTTGGCGCCTAGTGTAAGCGAAGGCGGAATTGATAGGGCGACGAAAGACCGTAGACGTGGACGTAGTTGGTTTAAGAAAAGAGTAAAAATTCAGAAGAAATTATTGTAGAGATACTGCGTAAGGACTGGCGATATAATATGGCGTAAAAGTACTGTTTCGCTTGTAGCTTCTTCTTTCGCCTGAAACGCCTATAGATAGCACCAGCAGCTCCTTAGTTACTATAATACCTCGTTAACTCAGCTATTCAATTACAAAACGACGAATTCAGGAGAAGGAGAACTGAATACCTAAGATGTAAGCTCTTTTGAGGCTATATCAGTAAAGTTACGAAGTAGGCACTGAAATCGGACAACATAGTTTGTATATCCTGTTCTTTAATAGCCGCTCGTACATCTAAGGGAGGTTAGAATGACTAGTTTATGGTATGTTTATGTGTGATTGCTAGAAGAAATACTTTATGCTGATTACTTCTTAATAGCATGTGTTAAATGCCTGAACTAAATTTCGTGGCCATACGAGTACCGCTAAGCTACTATGCGTATTCTAGGCGACTGAGATACGCTAGCCTGTGGTGTTTTGGTAAGCTATATTAAGAAAAAGCTGTATATTTGGGGCTTGCGTGACCTCTATCGCTGTCCGTAAACCTAACTTAACGCTGAGAATAGGGCGTTCGAATGGTGCGCGCTGGTACCTGTGACCTTTTTTGCCTCGAAGCTGCGCCAGAGAGAGTGCGCCTATAAAATGTCCACCCGCAGCCGTTAATAACCACTTCTCTAAATAATAAATTCCTGTGCATAGACTAGATAGCCGGCCCAGAGTCTATACAGGATCCTTAATATAAGATAAAGAGTAGTACGCTGTATTGCGAAGAATTCTTCTTATGCGTGACGTGCTTGATGTTGCTTGTGGAGGAACAAGTGATTGCGGCGCCGCCACCGGCTTTGCTCTCATGATACGTAGTATATCTCGTGGTGTTAGTCTGACCTCTTTATGGATACGGTCGCGGAACGAAGGTATATATACCCACAGATCAATAGTACGATCCGGAACATCGTCTACCTTGTACTAGTATCCCTTAGAAAGACTAGGAGATGCTCGTATCGGCGCATTAAAACTTATAATGAATGTTCTTTCTGTGTCCGTGCCTCTAAGAGCCCTAATGCGACCTAGTTGGTATTTATTGCCATGAGATCGCATAAGGCTGAAATCCCCAGTGATACTGAATTCTACTAGGGATTCGAGCGCTCTCTCCGTTGGTGTAAGTATTAGAAACGTCCCTAATAGGTAAACCGTGAACCTATCGTTTCTATAAGATCTTAGAAAACGTTCCGTCGCGTGTAATCTTTGCTCGAGAACATAGCCGCTGTCTCTAAGCAATGTTAGTTATATGCCCTGTCGTGAAAGTCTTTTTACAGTAGGTACGTCCCACACTAGATCTTGGATTGGGTTAAGATATTGTTTTCTTTCCTTCGCACTTAGAGAGCACACCCTTAGGCTGACTAGCTTCGCAGCATTAAAAGCGGATATACTGCCTAAAATCCTCCTTTGGGTTGGCGAAAGATAGAGAAGATACCTGAGATACATAGTACGCATCTTCGCACTATTATTTACAATCTCTCTTGGCCAATAGGTGCGATTTAATGTATGTTTATGCAGAAGTTGCTTTGATGGACGCGTCTCTAAACTATAGAGAGGAGTTATAACAGCCCAAAGATTGCTGTAGGTGTGTCTAGATGGGCAAGAGAGCCACTACATTCATGCTGGAACATCCGTTAAAGCTAAGCGCCCGAACTGAGATATGGCGCATTGGAAGTCACTCCTTCGTGCGTAGCCAGCGATGCTTATACCAGTAAGCAGGCTTAGGCCTTCTCGTCCTACGTAGACCTGCTGATAAGGATGGAACTACAAAGAAAGAGTAAAAGCTTTGATAAATCTATAGCGCACTGCATAGACATTTGGTAGCTAATTATGTTTTCCTCTTTGCTATAGTTATTACGATTGCGAGCTTAGCCAGAACTGAATACAGCTTATTGTAGATAACGATGTACTCACTTCCTGATTTTCTTCTTATCTCTCTCCTGTGTCGCACTCTCTGAAGGCGTATACTTTGCCGTACGTACAAGTCTAGCCGTCGCAAATGCTGCTATATATAATGAAATATTATAAAAAGCCACTAGGTAAACTCTGTCAGGTTGCTGCTTCTGTATGTAGGACGTTTATGCAGGGGCAGGGTACTCAGGATTAAGCACCCCTTTATCTTTCTTAAGAGAACAATTTTGCTATCTGTAGGTCCCTGAAAGCGAAGAAGGTGTTACGAATCAGCCTAGAAGAATCCGTCGCTTAGGTTTAGCCGGATGTCACTATGGGCGAGCTCGTGCAATCAACGATCAAGGAAGGACTGATTCTAACAGTTGTTACTAGCTTAAGGGATATAACTGTACTTAAGGCCTTTACGTCTAAAACGTGTGGATTCTCGTCTTTTCGCTACGGTACATTCGACTGCGCGGTTCTCTCTGTGCAGGGCATCTCACGTGATGGACACGAATTAACTATAGATCTTAACGATGCTGATACTATAGACGAATTTTCCAGAAATAATAGCGCACTGCATAGGCTCGCTCTATTGAAAATCCCGCTTATGTAAGCTGGGCGGTACGTCGAATTGACGTATTGGCCCGTCCTTTCCTTGTCGGGCGCAACGTTCCGCGTAACGTGTAACCCGTTGATTCTTGGTAAACATGCGGTGAATGAATTCACTGATTTCTTAGACATTGTCATGTTTGAACCAGAGCTGGGCGCTGTTGTCACTGGGCGATTCATGGCTACTGCTCAACCTATTTGCCGCCCCTTTGGGGAAAGGGTTTCATTCCTGAAACATGTCGAGTCCATAGTTCGAGAGAGAAAAGGGAAGCCAGGTCCCGCCTACGTCGAGACGGTTCCGCTTGTGGATTATCTTTTCCGGTATTACGATGACAATAGAGAGAGCACGCAAGATTATGCCAGTATAAGTCAATACGTTGCTTTGCCAGCGGAAGCTTTAGAAGATTACGTAAAAGACGCCTATTGGCAGTTCTCCAGTCATCCAGTCAGAATTACTCGGGTCGACCCACATAGCACATTTAGTAAGCGTGGATTTGGTATGCCGGCTGCGTCAGAGGACGATCTGTGGCACGTTGAGCAGTTGGATGCAACAGAAAGAAAAAATCAATGCCAAAATATTGATTCCTTGCCTGCGTAGAAAGCTATGTATGCGAGAGCAAAGCTGGTAACAAAACCAAAACGACACGAATGAGCTGACATACATCCGGCCAAGCGTAAAAGTGTTCACCAAGCTAAGAATGCCTTTCATCTCTAACCAATATCAAGAGAGCAACAGTTTGGTATTTTTATATGTCCGGTAGCAAGATTGCTTCACGAAAGGGCACTCAGCATTTTTCTCGTGATAGAGCTCGAAAAGCTAACGTTGCTGGGTCGCTATTGCATTGGAGGTTCGAGTTGCCCAGCTAGTATTGTCACGGTGGGTGTCTTAGTACGTGTTGGGTGACCTCAGGCAGCTTGGCAATATATATCAACGGGCGAATGCTGTTTGTGACTTGATTTTTAAATGCATATGCAAAGTTCAAGGAGATTCCGCATAGGCATCGGGCCACAGCGTGGAGCCCGCAAGACCAAGCACTGTGTTAATGATGCTGTGAGAGCACGCCAATTCTCTAGTGCAAATGATTGCGGGCTTTTGTTCATTAGATTCGAATGCGCATGATCAAGCTTAGTTAGTTACTAATCTTGCGATCATTGGCAAAAGAGGCGCTGTTGTTTCGATCCTGGAATGGTTACCTGGCAAAGACTTCCAAGCACGACTCTCGGTTTTGGAAACCGTGAGCCCACTCCTTACCCAAGGAGGCAGCACTATCTCTTTGAGTAATGCCTCCACCTACTTGGCACACAACCTGCGGAAGCGTTCAGAGACAGTGTAAATCTTCTCTGATGTCATCTCAATATGTCATAAGATTACAGAAGGTTCCTGATTCTCAAAGATATAAAGTTAGCAATGCATCATAAGATGGCTTTCTGGAAGACGATGCCTACGAAAAACATAGCTCAATCCCAAAACCACGAACATAGCAGGAATCCGTTGGGTCAGAGGCTGCTGTCCCCTTGAAACTGCTATTGTAGGCAAGACCAGACTATTGACAGTGGCAGTGAACTTGGCAGTGGCAATGGTACTCGTCTTGCGTAACCGGCCGTGCCGTCTCCCCTTATCAGACAGCATGGGTGTAACTCTGGTCCAAAATTTCCTTTTCTAGAACTTACTCCGCCCTGTAAATTATGCCCTGGGGACATTCGTTACAGCGAGGTGGGCAAAAATTGTCTCATATCTGTCGACTGGTACAGTCTCGCCATACATACTGTTCAAAATTATTATTATTATTATTATTCCATTATAGTCCTGTATCAGCCGTTGGCTATGTAGGACTTTGGCCAAAGGCCGTTCTATCTAACTAGTTACAATTTGGTACGTTGTGCTGTATTGCGTGACTATGGTGCTTCGGCCTTTGTCTAGTTAAGCTAGTACTAGCTTTCTAGACGCCTGGTGCTAAAGAGCAGTTTGGTAACAGGGAGAGATATAGAGCAGCTAGGCTGCCTTCTAGCGAGCTCTCTTAGGGGATAGGAAATAGTGCTAGTAAAATCAAATTCGTTGTTCTTTGTTTTTCTTCTTTTCTTCTTATTTTTCTTATTTTTCTTCTTTCTAGCCTTCTTGGCCTAGATGCCACTTTCTTGTTCCTATCTTCGTGCTAGTAATAAAAGCTAGAGTAGCTTCTATACCGCTCGTAGTGTGGAGTAAGAGTGGGAGTTTAAGTACTTTCTGGCCTAGAGTCTTTTTAAGTTGGTTTCTCTCTGCGCTATAGAAACCGCAGTATAGAAGTAGGTGCTCTGCTGTTTGTAGTCTTCCGCATTTATAGAGTTCTGTTTCTCTTCTTTTTACTCTCTTTAGATAAGCATTAAAGTATCCGTGCCCTATC